CCGGGAACAAGGCGTACTGTCTCACACACAAGCTTCTGGTGGCACCACTGCTTGGCCACAGGGCCTAGCTGGCAGTCTTCCCCATAAGTAGCAAAATCAGTCTTCATTTTGGCTACATCTCCTTACTTTTTCTTTCAGATCAATTAAAAAAAAAAAACCACAGAGGAAAATCTGCCAATAGTGGTCCCCTCTCGACAGTGGCCATTATGTCGGAGCATCAATAACCAAGTCCAATTACAAGCAGCGGCCACTCTAAGTCCAAATCATACACGCTGTAACCTAGCCATTAGATTGACAGACCAACTTCAATCATCAGTCCACCTACACTTTCCATGGTTATACTAGGCCACATCAATTAAGCCCGCATGACACTCCTTAAAGCAAGCCTTGCCAAACAACCATCTAGGTTTCATTTTGGAATCATTAGTAAATTATAAAAGCAACACCTACACTATTTTAACTATTAAGGATCTAAAAGACATTTTACTTGAATTTCCTTACTTCTTAAAAGGCAGCAGTTAGAAATTTTCACATCAATGGAACAGCATTCAAAATAAGCATGCGGTCCACCAGTCACAGAGGCCAACTGACCACATCAGAACCGAGGACTCCACCTGTGGTCCAGGGCCCTTGGATTAAGACTGCAGCGAGGGCGTGGGGAAAGGTTAATGCAAAACATGCAGTTCCCTGTGCCCCATTTTAAGCTTGCCCTGAACTGGGTTGATGCTGGGGTGTGAAGGGCAGGAACACATGTTCTCCTGCACTCCCCAGGTGCGACGTGGGGCATGTGCATTTGAGAGCTACTACTCAGTGCTCGTGTCCCCAGACAGCAGTTCTGCAGGCCACTGTGCCATGTGCTCTGCCGGGAAAACCTGCCTCTCTTCTGTAAGGCCCAAAACAGAAACATGGACCCTTCAGGCTGGCTGACCACAGGCTTCCCATCAAGTAAGGCAAGGAAATGGCTCATTCTGCAAGGCAGCTGCAGCTGTGATTTAGTATCTGCCACAGTCAGGAAGAGAGGGTGGATCCTGAGGACGGTAAAGACAAACATCAGAACAATAAACTGCACAGCAGGGCACAGGAATCAGACCTTATACGTCAAGCGTGTGACACTAACTCATGTCTTCTGGGGGAACAACTAGATGTGAGGTTAAAGGCTTTATAAACGCACGTGCCCTTGGACTTGGCAACTCCACTTCTAGACCACTGTAAACTTTCCTGAAGGACAAAAATAACCTAACTCAATGGAGATGTGTAAAAGATTTCCAGCTGGAAACGCCAAGGATTATAAAGATGTCAATTCTCCCTAAACGCAATCTATAAGTGAATGCAATCCAATCAAATCCCACGGGAATTTTAAAGAGAATTTGAAAAACTGATAGTAAAACTTGTGAAAAAAGTAAGCACATGAAAAAGAAAAGAAGTTTTTAAAAGTAAATTATAAAAACGCTCTAAGCTAATAATATATACCACAAAGCTGCAGTAATTAAAATGGAGTGAAACCAGAACAAATGCCAACAAAAAAGATCGATGCCTCAGAAGAAAACCTAGGAACAATCCAGACCTTTCCTGTGTACAAGTGCACAAGTGCACCTGCCAGGTTCTCTATGCCACTTTGCAAGTGAGTGCATGCACATACTCATGCACACACACACACACTCACAGACGTACGCACACATACAGACATGCGTGCAGACACATGCAGCACACAGACATGTGCACAGATGCGTACACACACACAGACATGTGTGCACACACACAGGCTTTTTTCTCCAGACACATGCTGTTCTCCATCTTGTCTTTTTGTATACATTTTTGTGCGTGTTTTTTGTAAGAAAATGAGAGGGAGTACTTCTTTAGGGTACATTCCCAAAAGTAAATTTGGGGTCATGGGACATGCACGTTTAAAATTCTGACAGAGCAACGGACACTGCGACACTGAGCAGTGGCAGCACTAAGCTCTCACACCCTCCCCAACGCTACCCAGTGCTGGTCTCCGCATGTCTGCTGCTGCACCTGCCCTGTGACATCCTCCACTCAGCTTTCTGTCGCCGCTTTACAGAGGAGGTCCTGCTCCATTCTAGAGGGACAGAGCCCCGCACCCTGGTGCAGTCAGCACTGCACTCTCACCGGCCATGCTAGGCAAGGCCCTCACTCCATTCTGAATATGTACTCTGCTTTGCACCATGGGTACTTCCTCCCCCATCACTACTCTTAACCTTCCTCACAGCGTCACTTCCCATACAAAAACCCTTCTATTTTACACGGGCAGATCTATCTGTCTTGCTCAGGAAAGCTGGCTGAGATACGCCTGTGGCCTGAACACGGAGGACTGCAGGTAACTGTAACAGCAAGAGAGGGGTGCGCCCGAGGTGTGCACACATCCAGAGACTTCAGGATGACACCTGGAGCAGGTGGGCAGGGGCAGGTCATGGCTGGAGGATGGTCAAGGCAGCTGGTGCTTTGTGAGAGCCAGCACTCAGTATCCCATGTCGATCAAAGGGTGGGAGACAACATGGAGTTGTGGACATTTGCCATCAAATACCCTCTCATGCACAATGTTTACTACATTTTTATAGCTCATCAAGAGTCCTAAATACTGAAAAAGCCTCAATCATAAGGCATGTCATAACCATAAACATTAAGCAGCAGTAACTGAATTTTGCTGAGCAGTAGAAACACAGAAACTCAGCTGCTCGTTACAAACAAAATAAGAGGCAAAGCTGGGGACAGGCCCTCAATTTCCTGATGTCCAAATCTGTACTCAAAATAGGCTGCACCTCTCCAAGCAGATGGACACTGCCACGTGCCCCTCGGGAACGAGGCTTGCTTGTGAAACATGCCTGGTGCCTGGGCTCCCAAGGCAAACGCCATGGAACAGGGCACTGCTGGGCTCTCTGCTGTCACCCACAAACCTCCCTTGTTAACAGTCACTCAGGCCTAGCAGAACCAGGAGTCATCACCAGAGAAAGGGGCTCCACACACGGCAATGCAGACAGAAATAAGCACACAGATGCCCTTTCTGCTGCCCGGCCACTCTGCCCACACACCGGACTCGAGGCCAAACAGGAGCAGTCCTCGACCACGCCCCCTCCACCTCCTCCCACCCTACTTCCCTCCCCATTCCCCTCCTCCCCTCCCCGCCAACTGCTCTGCAACATCTTATAATGTAAAAAAAATATTAATAATTTTTTTAAAAAAATAAATAAATAGGAGAGGCAACTGAATTCTATGTTTGCAGTGTCACTTTAATAAAAAATGTTTAATAGTTCTATAGCATACCTTCAAAAAAATTTTCCCGTTTTAATTACAAGAAGTATTTGAGTAATGAGGCATGTTTATTAGCAGCTGTCCTGGACTGAAAACAGTGGCCTTGGGTGAGCTGTGAGCACATGAGCCCCCAGCACTGGACACAGCTCAAGTGCACTGCGGTGAGGGAGGGGCTGCTATCTGCAACTGCTGGGGAGACTGTGGCACAGGCTGCTCCCCGAGTGTCCACACACAATAACACACCCATTTCCTTGGAACAGATACCAGCAATCTGTGTCAGAGAACCGGCAAAGCCGGGGGCCATGAAAAAGCATTCAAGGCACAAATAGCTCAGGGTCACCACAGTAACATCCCACAGAAGGGCTGCAGTCACGACCTGGCCCCAGGAGGAGCTTCCTCCACAGAGATGTTACCGACCTCACCAGCAGACTGCAGACAAAAGCTACCAAAGCTGGTAACATGCTATAAAAATATCAAGACTCATTTTGTCAAAAATGAACAAGCAAATAAATAACAAGTGGGTTCTAAAAGGAGTAATTAAAACAAGGCAAAAGAGACAACAAAAATCACAGGATCTGGGCCCAAACACTTTTAAATTAAGGTGAAAATCAGTTTCAACATATATACGATGAAATCAGTTTTTAATATAAACAAAATCTCCTGACTTCTGTCCCTACTGAGATACTGAACCTCTCTCGAGCAAGCACAAGGCAGTGAAAAGCACAGCTCGGGAATGCAGGAAGCCACACATGTCACACCCAGCTCCTGGGGCTTGATTACGACCTCCTGTCCAGCAGGCAGTGGCGGCTAAGGTTGTCTGCACCCCCACGAGCATGGCAGATTCTTTACTTGACCGGTGTAACTCTACAGGCCTAAAGCCAAGTGGTGCGAGCCTCGACACCCCTAAAGTGCTCACTGTTAAATGACCAAGCACATTCTCTATTGAGAGTCGCTCCTCCCCCAGTGAAATCCTGCGATTCGAGACAGATTCTTCGCTTAACTTTCAGCACAAGTGCCTGTCTCACCAACGTAAGGATACCCCGGCTCATTGCTCTAAGAGCACAGAGGTGGCCCTGGCCACACCACAGCTCTACCTTCAGTCTGTCCTTCTACTAGGTGTCTTCTCTTAAATAGCTCACATGCAGACACGTCGCCTGTCTCTCTGCAGCAGACAAGCACAGAGTCAGTATTTCCCACAAAGGCAGAAATCAGGCATCTGCAGAGGCCGCGCTGGTTTGCTGAAGAGGAACGTGAAACTTTCCCGTCCTTCCTCTCACCACTCCACTATTTCTACGCTCCTTGACGTGGGAAGAGCACTCTCTTTCAGTAAATAACCCATCTCTCTGGGGACCTGCTCATTTCAGCAGCTCCAAACCCAGAGCTGCCCCCAAGGGGACACAAAGACAGCCCTGGAGGAGAAGCATATTAGAATACCACAGAAGAGCTGCTGGTGGGGAAGGAATAGGAAGGCAAGCCCAGAGGCAGCAGGTGCCCGGCCGGTCTGCAATGCCCTAGACACAGCCAGGCGCTGCAGCCCTGGCCCAGGATTCTGAATGAAGGGCCCAGAGAAAACATAGTCCTTCCCACCCTGCCCAGTCACCCCGCAAGACTGGTGTCCCAGGATTGCATCCCGGGCTCCTCTGAGCCCTGGCATTCTAAATGATCTGACCCTGTCACTCAGAACGCAAGCATAGGAGAGCTGAGCCCAGGTCCCTCACCCAGCATCTTACTTGACTTGCTCCCAGGTCCTGGTGGCCAAATGCAGGACCCACAGGTCCTTGTAGTGGTAGAACTGCTCTCCATCAGGAGAAGCAAACTCCCCTCCGAAGACCCACAGCTGTCCACCTCCTTGAGGCACCACCACAGCCTATTAAAAGAAAGGTGACAGGTTAGGGCGGGCAGCAACACAGCAGCACTGCCAGCCCCACAAGGACCCTTGGTGTCGGCACTGTCCACTCAGAGTGCTCGAGCCCCACAGCATCCACCCCACTCAGCCATCATCTTCTCCTGCCCCAGAGGGGAAAGTTCCCTAAAAAACCCGCATTGGGCACATTGTCCTCAATCAAAAATGTAATAAACTTGCATGTATTCCGAGGTTGGAAAAAGAATGTCCACTTACATCTAGACAAAACCATATCCCACTAAAAGAAACAGTTACTGCAAAAATTAACAATAGTTATAACGTATTCTAAGTGTTTTCTTTTTATTAAGTATCTGTAATGAAGCTGTCCCTCTTCCTAGCTACTAAGCACACCCACCTATAGCTACCCTCATAATAAAACATACAAGTGATATGAAATGTTTCTGTAAAGTTATTAATGCTTATTTTTAACAGATTTAAGCAGTACGGTAGAGGTGAAGGGAAGCTGTCAGAACTAGGCCCACTGGGCCCCAATATCAAACCTAACTGGTCATCAGCTGTCACTGCCTGCCAGAAGGAAGCACATGGAGCTCCGAGCATGGGCCCTCTGTGGTCCCTCCCTCTCTGGACCCCAAGAGCCGGGAGCAGCTGCCAATGCATAGCCAAGTGAGCACCGGTCGGTCAGAGGCGGCTCTCAGAAGGCTCTGTCCCTGGGTACCCTCTGCAGCAGGTCCTCCACCCCACCCGGCACCTAGGGCCACCCCTCTGCACTGATGCCATTCCTTCCTAGGCTAACTGAAGGGGTTTGGTGGCACCGTCATACCAAGGGTGACACATCCATCTCCACTCCAACCCATTTTCAGTCGTATTTGTGTGCATCGTCTCAGCACAGACGACTGATTTATAAAGGGACAAGCCAGGTTTCCTGTTAGCCTAAAGGCCCAGCAGCTCCTTAAGGACAGACTGATCACTTCAAACCTTTACAGCAGACGTGAGGACTGGCTCAGGCTCAACCCTCACATATGTGGGACACTTACCCTATTTTATGAAATAACTTGCTGCCTGATTTCAGATTCACAATAAAGCCAACTGAGATCTTTAACTTAAATAAAAAAACTAACAAATGTTTTGAGTTTAGAGAAGTTAGGTGGTACAACCACACTACACTGTACAATGGATTTTGAAATATCATATTACAGAAGATTATCCAATGCCACAGAATACTACTACAAATGGGGAGCACCTCTCTGATGCTATCGGATGGTGTTTCTCGGGTCGATCCTCACATTTGACTCCCAATAAGCTGTACAAAATTAAAAAAAAAAAATACCGCTACAAACAATACAACACATACAACAACTGGGAAAAACAGTATAAAAAGAGCATATACATATTTCATTAGTATGAAATATATATGCAGAGAAAAGAGGCAGAAAATATAAATCAACAGTTTTCAAAGAATGGACAATGGACTTACTTTCCTTTTGAATCTTTTCATTTTTTTCACAATGAATATTTATTACTTACAGAATCAGTTTCTAAAGCCATTCTTAAAAAATATTAAGTCCAACTCCAGGCAAAAAGTCTGTAACTGGTAAGATTTCTTTAACATCCGACCAATCTTAACTGAAATACCAAACTCAGCACAGTCCAATCGGGAGGGACTACAGAAAACAGACCTACATTCAGTGGTTTGAGAGCTTTATATTAACCTACACTACAAAAATTATGAACACCAAGAAAAGTAATTAATCCTATAAAGACCCACCATAATACTTCTACGCAAACCATGATGAACCCAACTGTACCCCATAATCCCTCCCACTATAAACAAGGAGAAAACCAGACAAAATCTATGCAGCAACTACCTGCAGAAAATGGACAGCAGGAAATGTAGGCCTTGATCCTGACAGCCAGTAATCAAGCGAGGAGAACCTTCTGACTGTGGAGACTCTAGCAGCTGGAGGCAGTCCCTCACCCTGCTGCAGGGATGAGGGCCCCCACACAGCAGGGTGTTCTTGCTGAGCCGAGACCAAGGCTGCAGTTCAGGGATGCTGAGGCAGCTGGAATTTGCAGGGCAGAGCATTGGAGAGAGTAGCTTTGGGAGAAGAAGTTCTAGAAATCTGCATGGGATCCCCCAAAGTCTTTGAACACAAAGCTGTACCTTGGCTGAGACCAGGGTGAGACCACAGCAGGCTGGGCAAGGAACCACCACCGTGAAGCCAAAACCTTGAAAGCTGCCTGAGCTTACGCAGGGCTTGGAGACAGTCAAGCTCCAAACAGACAGAGTGAAAAGATGTCACTGATCACTGAGAGCATTCAGCAAGGGACAGACTATCCAGACACAAAATTAACCAGGAAACATCAGCATTAATCTCTACTATAGGCTGATTTGGCCTAACAGACATTTATAGGACATTTCATCCAACAGCTGCAGAACACACATTCTTCTCAGCAGCACATGGAACATTCTCTAGAATAGACCACTATGTTAGGACACAAAACAAGTCTCAACAAATTAAAAATTTAAATCATATCAACTACCTTGTCTGACCACAATGGAATAAAACTAGAAATCAATAGCAAAAAAGACACTAGAAACCATACAAATACATGGAAATTAAACAATATGTTCCTAAGCAATGAATGAGTCAAAGAAATTAAAATGAAAATGAAAACACAACAGAACCTATGGGATACAGTGAAAGCAGTTGTAAGAGGTAAGTTTATAGCAATAAATGCCTACATCTAAAAAGAGATTTCAAAAAACCTAATGTTACATCTCAAGGAACTAGAAAAACAAAACAAACCACACCCAAAATCAGTAGGAGAGAAATAAAGATTAGAGTGGAAATAAAAGAATTAGAGATTTAAAAAATACAAAGTAGCAATGAAACAAAGAGTTGGTTTTTTGAAAAGATAAACAAAATTGATGAACCTTTAGCTAGATTAGTGAAGAAAAAAGAGAGAAGGCTCAAATAAATAAAATCAGAAATGAAAATGGGAACATTACAACTGATAACACAGAAATACAAAGGACCATAAGAAACTACTACAAACAACTATATGCAAACAAACTGGAAAACCCAGAAGAAATGGATAAATTTCTGGACACATATTACTACCAAAGTTGAATCATGAAGAACTAGAGAACCTTAACAGACCAATAACAAGTAATAAGACTGAAGCAGGAATAAAAAATCTTCCAACAAAGCAAACCTCAGGACCAGATGGCTTCACTGCTGAATTCTACCACACATTCAAAGAAGAATTAATACTAATTCTTCTCAAACTCTTCCAAAAAGTTGAAGAGGAGGAAATACTTCCAAAATCATTCTATAAGGCCAACATTACCCTCATACCACAACCAGAAAAAGACACAACAAAAAAAGAAAACTATAGACCAACATCCCTAATGAACACAGATGCAAAGATCCTCAAAAAAATACTAGCAAACAGAATCCAACAACACATTAAAAAGATCTTTCACCACGATCAAGTGGGATTCATCCCAGGAATGCAAGGATGGTTCAACATACGCAAACCTATAAACACCACACATCACATCAACAGAATGAACGGAAAAAACCATATGACCATTTCAACAGACGCAGAGAAAGTATATGACAAAATCCAACACCGCTTCATGATAAAAACACTCAACATGTTAAGTATAGAAGGAATGTACCTCAACACAATAAAGGTCATATACAACAAACCCACAGCTCATATCATACTGAATGGATAAAAATGGGAGGCTTTTCCTTAAAGATCTGGAACAACACAAGGATGCCCACTTTCCCCACTCTTACTCAGCATAGTACTGGAAGTTCTAGCCTGTGCCATAAGATAAGAGAAAGCAATAAAGGGCATCCAAATCTGAAAGGAAGAAGTCAAATTACCCCATCTGCAGATGACATCATCCCATACATAGAAAACCCTAAATACTCCACCAAAAAATTACTGAACTAATAATGAATTCAGTAAAGTGGCAGGATACAACATCAAAACACAAAAATCGATAGCCTTACTTTACCTAGCAACAAAATAGCTGAAGAAGAAATCTGAAAGTAATCCTGAGATAGGAGGTGCTCAGTTTCCCTGGGTTTGGGTTTCAGGACATGCCTCTGGGTTTCAAGCCACTCCTCAAGGTCTCAGGTCCCCTTCTCTAGAGGAAAGTTACTGTTGCTAGTTAGACCTATTTGGGGCACCAACAGTAGGAAATTGAGAACACAGGAGGCTGGCTTATGCAAATCCAGTGGCTGGGCATACTCAGTGGAGAGGGGTTGAGTAACCTGGTAGCTGAATGACCTTCCAACTAGGGGTGCTAAAGAGCACAGAATGTTCTTGAATGTGTTTGGTGCATGTGACAGAATCTGACCAATGTACATGCTCCAAAAGGAGACCAACTGAGCATGTGCATGACTATGTTACATAACTGGGACCCACCCCCTTAGCTGAATATTCATTAGATAGCATAAATATGTATTAGATAGTGAAACTATAAAAACCAAATCCCCTGGGCCGGCCCAGTGGCGCACTGGAGAGTGCGCCGCTTGGGAGCGTGGCAGTGCTCCCGCTGAGGGTTCGGATCCCACGTGGAGACCGGTTCCCGCTCACTGGCTGAGCGGCGCAACACCGAGGGTTGCGATCCCATTGCCAGTCCCCGGTACGGGCGTGACACCAAGGGTTGTGGTCCCGTTACCGGTCAGTAAAAAAGACAAAAAGGAAAAAAAAAAAACCAAATCCCAGCAGAAGGCAGGGTTGTTGCTCACTTTCCTGGGGCCAACCCACATTTCACTGGCTGGGTGTGTAACCTTTCTTTTATATCAAACTTACTTTCAGCAAGCAGCTGCTTATTCTCTTGAGCCAGCCTGCACTCTGTACTGAACTTTAAATGTGTATTTCTTGGTTTTGTATTAAACTTGGTGTGGGCCCTGCTCAGTCTCTGGAGCTAAGCCACACTCTTTCTTTGAAATCTGTATGTCTTATTTGTTATATTAAAC